AAAAAAATTTGTTCGATATTTTCACGATAAAATGGCTCTGTAAATGCATAAAAATGCATTTACAGAGTGAAATTAGTGTGTGGAATAAGAATGTCTTTGACAATTTAGCTGGCAAAAGACACGAAAAATCGTCGATTCTTTCGTATTTGAAGCAATTTGGAAATCGAAGCGGAATAGAATTTAACATTAGTAAATAATATAAAATAAATATTGAAAATTATAACGAGATAGTTACGGTTAATAGATATATTATATCTAAATAAATAGATGTTATATATTTTTATCAAAGCAAGAATTGGCATTTAGAGGGCATATGGAATATATTGGATCTAATAACAGAGATAATTATATTGATCTTGTTTATTTATTAAGTACGTCAGATAAATAATCTATTAAAAACACATTTAAAGAAAGAATTAACTGATTGCCCCTGGAAGTTGGCTTCTCATAAAAACACAGCTTCCCTATCATCAAATGTCACGGCACGCCACTGGAGTTGATGCCTTGCATTAATCAATCAATCTGACAATCCAAAATTTTGATACAACTTTTATATATTAGTTTACACAAAGTAATCATAGAAATTTATAAAGACGAAAGGTTGAATACATGAGTTTGAATAAAATCATAATTCATAACTATTATTAAAAATTTAATTTAATTTTTTAAAAACTTTTTATACTACACACCTCATGTCGCTGCCCTTTTGCCAAAGTCAAATTAATGATAGCATCTGCTAAAATATGAACGTGAGGCATTATTTTCTCTACAAGCAAACGTTTGGAACTATGTATAGCCAGAAGAAATTTTGGATACTGTTCAGCATTTTGCAAATCTATAAACAAAATAATGAGATTAATAATGCAAATATTACAAATCTTTAAATAAATATTTAATAATACAAAATGACTTACGTGTATGCCAATGATTGAATGCTAAACAAACAACAACATATATTCCAATTTCTAACATGGCATGACATCCAACAAAACCTCGAACTTGGCGTTTACTATGTTTTACTAATACTCCCACTTGACCTATTGCTGGTGATGTTGCTCTAAAAACAACTACACAAAGGTCCAATTGAGAACGCTGAGATCTGTCTGAATTCCTAGACCAGGTGGACAAAAATACCAATTTCTTTTATTGAAACTGTATTAAAGTAAAATATATTTACACTAAAATTTGAAAGATTATATGCATAATACAAAAAAGTTTAATATATACAATCTTATCAAAAGTAAATTAAAAATTATGTACAAAAAAACACAATGCAATTTTTTGCAATTATTTAAGTTTATTTCATTTTCAATTTAGTACTAATAATAATTTCTCTCTGCCAATAAAAAATTATTTTTTTTATCTACAAATTCTTGTAGAGAGAGTAATTTTTGCAATTTATCAATTTTAAAATTTATAGAATGTGCTGTTTTGTTTTTAATACTATTTTTTAAAATTACTTTTGATTTACTTTTGATCAGCTATTCATTGACTAACTCCTACTTAACTTTTTTATTCTATTTGTCAAATTTATATTTATATATTTTATCAGTATTTCACCATTTACAAATCTATAATTATTTTTCATATACAATAAAATAATTAACACTTCAGTGTTGTGGTGTTACAAATTGCGACTTTTTAGATTTTATTTGCTTGCACTTTCAATAGTTTATAGACACCATCCTTAGGCAAAAAATCAAATACAATCATTTTCAAATGCTCAGCTTTTGAACAGATTTTTCAAATTTTATAATGCATGTGGATGGAATTCAGAATAAATTGATTCATTTGCAGTGCATTTCTATAAATTTTGAATATTTTTGATTTAAAATCAATTTATTCTGAATTCCATCCACGTGCATTAGATGATTTCAAAAGTACATTCAAAAGCCAAACATTCGAAAATAATCATATTTGATTTTTTGCCTGAGGATGGTAGCTATAAGCTATCAAAAGTGCTAGCAAATACATCTAAAATCTACAAAGTCGAAATTTGTAATTCTGCAACACCGAAGTGTTAATTATTTTATTTATTTGAATGTTGGCATAAAGTGTATTTTACAATCATAATTAATATTTTTTGTAACTTGCTTAAGTATAATATGTTTATCTAAACTTTGTTTTAATTTTCCATTTGTTTAAAAATATAAATAATTGGCATCAATAAATCAATGACATAATTTAAAATCATACCTATTACAGAGAGACAAAAATTTAAAAACCAAAAATAAATATATTATGGGGACCAGGGGCCATCAAGTTAGTTTATGTTAGATTAGGCTAGAGTCCTGCCACCAGGTGTGTTTTGTCGGACACACCACCGATTTTGACATAACCAGCTAGTTAAGGCGCGAGGGTAAGAGTCACTCCGAAGTCCGGGAATGAGCCTCTCAGGAGGATGAATGCAAAGTCAAATACAAATAACAAGAGTTTATTATCAAAAATTAAGTTCTGGATAACATTCTTAAAATCCAATTCAAGAAATCTGCCTATTTCTATCTATAAAATGAGGGGGCTGCCTAACAGGGGTTATCCAAACTACAACATACCAGGAAAAAGAGAGTCGTCTTCTCTTGTAAGTCCAGTCAGTCTCCTGATCTAGTTCCTTCTTCCCTTTTGCTTGATCCTTCACTGATGTTCACCGGTAAATGGCGTTCGCTTCTAGTCAAAATTTCCTTGCGATTATGGGGATAGGTTCACTTATGTCTATTGTTGATGTCTGCTGTTGATGCCTTCCTTGCATGGGATGGTTCTTTGAGAGTCTGGAGAGGCCGATGCTTTCTACCATAGTCTGCCGAGGAGCTCTGTTTGTATCTGGATTTGTCTCTCTTTTATATGCTTTTCAGCACAGGAGTTATGATATGGTTTACTATAGTATTGGTTTGGCTTTTGAGCTGTCATTACAGTAGCAAAACTGTTTTAACTCTCTCTGACTTCATATAGTGATAGCGCAAAACTCCATGGATGTCATCACTGACAAATCCCATCATTATTCATTGACTGTTTTGGTTACTGTTGTGCCTTGAAACAACGTTCAATCGCCACTATGATCGGCCAGGGGGGGCAGGAAGTGGTGTTTTTCCCACTTTCTCTAAGTTTTATTCTTTTACAAATTTATTTAATCACTTAATTGTTCTCTCATCCTTTTCCTTGCATGTTGTGAGATTTATTGCCATTAATTAATAAACTTCTTATTCTAAATTGTTTCTCTAAATCATTCTAAGTTGATATTATTGGAAATTTCTATAGGGAAGTCCCTAGAATCGGAAAAATAGGCAAATTTCCTCTTACACTTTGATCCATGTATAAGCAATCTCGGTATCTTCAAGATGTGGGTTCAAAAGAAAAAGGATATAAAATAAACACAAAATTTAAATACAATAAAATCTCTAACTAATTAATTAAAGTGACAACAGTGGCTAAACTAAGATTATACAGATAATGTAAATACGTAAATAACAAATTCACAAATACATACACACATACACACACACACACACACACACACACACACACATATATATATATATATATATATAATAACAACAAATTTTGGTGAGGGGGAAAANTCGAAAGGTCCTACAAGAAAGGCCATGCTACTAAAGAAAATAATTCTCAAGAAAATGAGGGAAGGAGACAACATGGCAGATCACATAAGAGACTTTTTCGATATAGTAGATAAGTTAAAAGAAATGGAAATCTCCATAAATAAAGAACTATTAACAGTACAACTGCTATATAGTATACTGGACTCATTCGAACAATTTAAAATTGCTATCGAAACACAAGAGAAACTTCTTTCGCTGGACACACTCAAAATAAAGCTAATAGAAGAGTATGAGGCGCAAAAACGAAATGACGATACCAATGATTCAAAGAATTTGAGAGTGCTGTATATAAGCAAACACCGGACAAAACAATCAGAAAATAAGGGGCCATTCAAATTCAAATGCCATAACTGCGGAAAGATAAGTCATAAGGCAAGAGAATGCTAGGACAGAAACAAGCAAAAACCAGCAAGAGCTGTAACTACAAACCTAACAACACGAAAACAGGAGTCATATAATGATAATATTATGGCAAATGAAGGGAAAGAAAATCTTAAATGGTGTCTAGACTCAGGTGCTTCATCACACATGTGCAATGATAAAGCAAGATTTTCTAACATTGAAACATCCCACACAAGTGAATTAAACTTGGCCAACTCATCTACAATGGAAATCAAAGGAAGTGGTGATGTAATAATTGAAATAAAGGAAGGATTTCAAGCCAAATTGGAGAACACACTCTTTGTACTAGAACTAAGGACCAACCTACTGTCAGTTGGGATGATAACTGATCATGGATTCAGTGTACTATTCCAAAAGAATCAGGCAATTATCATGGATCTGAAAACTAAAAGCGTACACATGCAAGCATTTAAAGAAAGTGAGCTATACTATGTGAAAGAAAGGTGGGAGGAATCTAAACTTTCTCAAACAAATGTTAATGAAAATGTGGCACAAATGTTTAGGTCACTTAAACAAAAGGGACATACAGCACATGGCCAACAACCTAAAGGTCAAAGGACTAAATATAGGATGAAAAGAAGAACGCGACCCCTGTGAGATCTGCATAAGAGGGAAACAAACCAGATCATCATTTCCGAAGGAAAACAAAAAGACATGCAGAGAAATATTAGAACTGATTCATACTGACATTCGTGGACCAATGAGAACCTCATCATTGAGTGGATCAAAATATTTCATCACGTTTATTGATGATTATTCTAGATGGTATGAAATATATTTCATGAGAAACAAAAGTGAAGCTTTCAAGAAATTCAAAACATACTTAGCCTTTGTAGAAAATAAAACAGAAAAAAAAGATAAAGGCAATAAGAAGTGACAATGGAACTGACTATACTAATAGAACTTCCTGAAACATAAAGGGATTAGGCATGAGAAAATAGCATGCTACACACCACAACAAAATGACATTGCAGAGAGAAAAAATAGAAGATGCATGCTACTCCAGGCAGGATTAAGAGAATGCTTTTGGGCAGAGGCTGTATATACCGCATCATATATTAAAAATAGATGTCCATCAAAGATTTGAAAGGTATGTCGCCTGCAAGGCGACATACCTTTCAAATTATGGACCGGTAGAATACCAACAATCAAATATTTTAGGACATTTGGTCAAATGGCATTCATATTAGAAAAGAAACCAGGAAAAGGAAAATTCCACGAGAAATCCACCAAATGTATATTTATAGGCTATTCTAGCAAAACAAAAGCACATTGTCTATGGAACACGAAGACAAAAAGAGTTATAACAAACAGAGATGTCAAATTTATCAACAAATTCCCAAACAACCCAAGGAACAATATCAAAATGACTGAAGATGACATGTCCTACGAAAGAGAAAAACTCAATAATAAAGATGTAAGTAGATATCCTTGAACCTGCTAAGGAACAATTACAACCGAAAGAAAACATCTCATCTGAAAATGAAGATGAAAATGAAACGAATGAAAGAGAAAGCAAACAGAATAATGAACTGGTAAGAGCAAGCAGGAGACCACAAATCGCTCGAACAGGACAGAGGGGAGATCCCAGAAAAGAATAAAATGAAAACCATAGAAGAATCTGCCACAATCAATGAAAAGATAGTCAAAGACAATGTAGAGCCTTCGACATATAAAGAAGTCATGGAATCCAATGACTCTGTCAGAAGGCGAGTTGCCATAGAGCAAGAAATGGAGTCCCTGAGAAAACATAACACGTGGAATTTAACAGAACTGCTAGAAGGGGAAACAACATCAAATGCAACTGGATCTACAAAGTTAAGGAAAGCATTGCCAACAGAATAATACGAATAGAGTATACGGATACTAAGAGCAACACTTCTGACCACCGTAAATGCATAACTAGCGAAGAGATCACTAAGTAAAGATAGAGTCTCTTCGAAAGGGGGGATTTTTAGGGAATACTAAACTAAAGCAAGTGTCAACATCGCAAACTGTGTATGAACTGGCAACACCCGTGCAAGACCACTTGAAACAAGGAGACCTGTTGTTCAGTTGCCTGCCAAGTTATGGATGTGTGAACAAGTACATGTATTAG